ATATAATATATACAGATAGAGTAACTAATATGAAAGTTAGTAAAAAATTAGTATCTAAAAATAATATAAGTATAGAATAAGTTTAAATAAATAAAATGCAAGAATGACCAAAAGAAGAGGTAGCACTTGAACTAAAAGGATGGTAGACATCAATGATAGCAGAGTTGGTAACAATCTGAATAACAATGTTAACAATACTAAAAGAAAAGCAAATAAGACATATTTAAACAATAATATTGCAATAAGAAATATCAGTAGAAGCTTGAAAAAAGCAGACAGAAACAAGATTATTAAAAAATAAATACAATATGGATAATGAAGATTAAAAACTTTTTTAAGATAAAAAACATTCAAATAAAATTAGTTAAAATAAAAGTCATAGTAAAGATAAATAGAATAATAAAGCTGATAGCTTAGAGAAGAAAAAAACAATAACTAAGAAGATAGTATAACCTAAAGAAGTCTGTTGTAAATAAATAAAATACTGTCTAGAATAGAAAAACAAATAAACTGATATATTAGCAAAATGCTTTATAAATTAGTAATAAATATAAAACTAGAAACAGAATAAAAAGAAACAAGAGCAGTTAAAGAAATAAAATCACAATTTATAATTGAACTTATTTTTAAAAAAAACTAAAAATAACTAAGGAAATATACTGCATAATAAGAAGAAACAGCTTCAAAAGAAATATATTTATTAAGTATATGATAGATAAACTTCTAAACTTAAAAGAACTTAACAGAAGAAGACAAAATATATATACAACAATAAAATATTAAGTATGTCAAAATAAAGTTAAAGAAATATAGAAATACTTTGCAACATGCAAGAATCAAAAAAATCTTTGAAAAAGAATCCAAAAAATGACCATTATAATAGCATGAAAAAAACTGAAAGAAGAAAAAAAAATCAGATTTTTTAATATTTGTTATACACAATACTCTTTAGAAAAATAGAGATAAAGTAGTAAAAATGAAAAAAGCATTAATTAAAGATCTAATTTTAAAAAAAATGCAAGCCAAATTAATGTAACTCTTAAATATAAAATCAAAATAGCAGTTTATAAATATAGTAGTAATAACAATCTAAAATACATTTTATAAACAAATGTAAAAAATATAATACAAAAAAATTAATAAATAAAAGAAAAAATTAGAATAACAGGTAGAGTAAAAAGAAAAAAAGAAAAAAGATAAAAGAATCAAATAAAAAAAAAATAAATCAATAAAGAATAGAAGAAAAAAAAATATTAGAGAAAAAGAAAAACAAGTTGAAAAAAAATAATGACAACAATGTTGAGACTTGTTGTAAAAAGTAGAAAACTCTTCTATTATAGACTTTAAATAGTTAGACAAGCAGCTTACTTCTGCTTAAAGTAATGTAACAGGTTGTATTTAGATAATATTAAGGTGACCAAGTAATGCTAGACTTAAGTATCAGAGATATTTATGTAATTACAAATGTAATTTTAAAATCTTAATAAAGTACTAGCATAACTACTTATAATAAATAAAAAAATAAAAAATTTAAATTAGTTGTTTGAAAAGTCTTATCAATTTTAAATAAAAGAACTTAGTAAATAATAATATCAAAAGATATATATTAAAATTTAAGTAAACTTTTTAAGAATAAAAATAATATAATGTAGTAGTTTAATATATAATACTTATAATTGTAAGTGTTAGTTTAGCTATAATATATTATATTAAACTAATTTAGTTATATATAAAATATAAAAAACTCTAGTAACAATACATTAAAGATTAATTGTATAAAATTAGATACCAAAAGTGTAAATTGTTATAAATTTTAAAGGTAAGTTCAAAAATAGAACAAATATAATAAATTGTTACTTAAAAAATAAGTATATTATATAATATTTCTTAATGAATAATAAAGACAGATTTATAATTTGATATAAAATCAAGATACTAGTTAAGTAGTATTACAAAATAAGAATAAAAACTTTAAAGAATATTTATTATATTTTATAAATTTTAAAGATCTTTATTAACAATTTTATTATTTTATAAAGACTCATTTATCTATTTTTATAAAAGAAAAACTTTTGATTTTATTTATAATAAATTAATAATAAGAAGAGTAAATATAATATTACAATTCTTCTTTTTATTTTTATTGATTTTAATCTTATTTAGTCTAAACTTTAATTTCTTTATATATATTGTTTTAATTATTTTAGTATTTTTTACAATTATTATTAAACTAATAAGAAATATTTTAGTATTATCATAATTACACCTCTTGTCATTATCTTACATTTATTTCAAATAGGATAAAGTAGAGTCAACATTTATTCTCAACTAGTATAATACAAATAAATAAGTTCAAATTAATTTTTTTTAATTAAAAAGAGTAATAAAGTCTTATTAAGACTTGTGTACTATTATATAGTTTTCTCAAAGCTGAGTACATATGTTTCAAGTAAATTGTTATAAGCATTATTGATTAGATAAATAAACTATTGTGATGATCACTTTTTAGATTTTGCAAATGCTTAGTTTTATTTTTAATAATATTTAATTAGTTGTATTTTCTAATATAAAGATAACTTTATTAAAGTTCTAACCATAAGTCTTTATATTTTATAATATTAAATAAAAAAATCCCAACTTTAAAAAGATTAGTTTAATAAAAAAAATTTTTTTGATTAATCTAAACAAACTTTATTATATCTATATACAAGTATATTTTTTTAAAATAATATAATAGTTCAAAATTTATTATAGTAAATAAATAACTTTATTTATAATATTATAAAATTTTTTTATTAATTAATTAAAAAATAAAAAAGTTTGATAATAATATATTATGTAATTAGTATATAATTTTTTTTTGTGTTTAATTATATATAAAAATGATTCATGTTTACTTTGGAGTCTTTGAAAATATGACCTAATCACATAAAAAATGTACAAAATGTAATTAGTACATTTTGGATACAGAGAAGAAAATAGAATATAAAAGGAGGAAGTAAATAAAATTAAATATATTCAAAGATATTAAATAAAATAGTTATAAATAATTTTAAGAAGTTTTATAAATATTAGTTATAAAGTTACATTTGTAAATAATGAAATTGATTGCTTTATTAAATAATAATTACCAGTCTTATACACTATTCATAACATTACACTAACCCTATTACCAGTATAAACCTTATAAATCCCATAAAAATCGTTGTTCGTTTAAGTTCTTGATCACGCGATTCACCTGCCGACCAAAGTAACCAAAAGCCTTAATCACCCACCAGCCAAATCTAACACCCCTCTTTCGTAAGGTTACCTATCGTTGGTTACGCGAGAGCCTGGATTGTGGAGCGACCGAGTCGCAGTTTTCCGCAAGTTCACAATTCTAACCTAAACTCATTGTTGAAATAATTCATGCATAATTCGAATTCAATCGTGACTACGTGACCTGAGATAAGTAGTACACTTGAAATAAATAATATAGTAAAAGTACTAGTGTTGGATCAGCGCATTAAATATAAGAAATTTACACTAAAAGCAAAAGAGAAACTTATCTAAGCCCCGGTAATAACCCCACAAGACCCAACAAACTCTGACAAAGTCTTACCACTCCTCGATCGTAGCCTACCAATTTAAAGTTTTTGGTCTTGTTTGTTAGATATTAATTAGTGTGTAGTATTAGATTGTGCTATTGGTTATATTAGTGCCAACCAGAACTTTCGTACATGCGTATATATTAATTAATTGAGCCCTTACAACAATGGCAAGTATCCACAACCACCGATTACCTACATGCATATCAATGACCAATGCACAAAATCCATTGCAAAACATCAGAATTTCCGTTTATTAAGATAAATTCCGGCGTAATATAAGTGGTCTGGAATTTTTTCGGCGATACAAAAATGATGTCGCTTGAAAGAAAAAGCAGGTTACATCACTGCGCACAGTCAATGACCTCTTTAGAGTTAAATTAAATCATTAATTTAAACTAAACCCTTTGATAACTCTTCAATTATTACACATGATTGGTTTCAGCTGGTCTCAGTTGTTTGCAACAATAATTGATACTTTCTTTATATACGTCACACAATCGAATTTATGTAAGATACATACGTACTAATAACACTAAAGTTAAGGAATAAGGATGTAAATATTAGTTATAATAAATATTAACTATAATAAATATTAGTTACGTATAATAAATATTAGTTATAATAAATATTAGTCATTATAAATATTAGTCATAATAAATAGTTATTACAATAAAGAAATTTAAACTACGCACGTACCTACTACGTAACACTACGTAAATTTGCATATTGATTTTGGAACGTACGCACGTACCAAGTACATACGTACAATGTACTGTGCATGCGTATGTTAGTGTACTAGCGTTGTACTTTAATGTTAAGTATAGAGTTTAAATCAATCCCTTAAATATGCGCATACATACAACTTTCATTAATCCCTTAAATTCACACATACAATTCGCCCATACAATTCACACTGTTTTGGTAATTCAATCGTGGGCATCTATAGGCGGTGAAAGTACCAATTAAATTATATTACTTTTATATAATCAATCTATAATTGCGTTAAATTTGGAATTTTCTTTTTTTACTTACATTATATAAGCCACTATTAAATTATGGCATCGGATTACCTCATTCTACGTAGAATAATATTTATGCTAAACGACACAAATTAAATTTCTTTTTGGACTAATTTAGTAATATCTCCTTAAATTAACATTAAGATTTACTCAAGGTATAATGCATCAATATTAGATTACTAACTTATTACCATTGAGATTATGTTGCTACGTGTGAAAAAATTAAATTTAGCCCAATCTATAATTAATAAATATTCAATGAACGACAAGAAAAAAAATCCAGAAAGATTGTTCTTTCTTTGAATGATATGCTTAATATTTGTATACAAATAATTTATAATTTTTTAAAGGAAACTCTTCAAAATTGTCAAACATAAAGTTTTAATGAAAAATGTCGATTGAAGAAAAACGCGAAAATGAATCAATTGAATCATATGAACTAGAAAATGAAAATTACAAGATGTTGGAGAAAAGAATTGTTAGAAAATGTGATATTTATTTGCTTCGTATGTTTCAAATATCTTTGACTTTTATATTATAATCTTTATATAATTATCTTCGACCTGTATTTCTTATCAAAATTAATTTCTTGATTAGCAATATTGGCTATAACATACTTGCTTGGAGTTGTCGATCTTTCAAATATAGGAAATGCCATCGTAGCTGGCTTCGACTACAATTACCTTAAGACCACTCCATTTTTGTTTACTCTTGCAATATCAGCTCATTTCCTCAGTTATATAATCTTTGAAATCCCTTCAAACTGGGTGACAAGAATTTTAGGGTTCCATATTTGGATGCCAATTCTAATGGTGTGTTGGGCTGCAATGTCTATGTGTCAAGCTGCATGTACAACCGCGATTCAGCTAGGCATTGTTAGATTTTTATTAGGTAAATGTCATATTAGCAGATGTCTTAATATTAGGTATAATATTAAATCAAAATAATAAACTGCTGAAGTTTAATAGAGATGTAGTTCGGATTTGTTTTCATATGTATAAATCGGTTAAAACTAATTTAGCATAAAAATAAATCCGGTTCACACCTCTAGCATAATTTTAACTAAAATTGCAGACTTCATGTTACACTTTGCAATTTTATTAGTCGATTAGAGGAAATCACTACATATCTATAAACTTGTTATTTCGAGTATGTATCCAATTTTGTCATTCAGGATATAATGTGCTTCAAAAATCATAATAAATCATCATACACTAGTATATAATAATAGCACCCTAGTTCATAACGCGCTAGTTTATAAATCATAACGCGTTGGTTTATAAGTCATCACGCGCTTGTTTATAAATCATCACACGCTTGTTTATAAATTATAACGCGCTAGATTGCAATTGTCTCTATTTCACGTTACAATTATTTCTGAATTCTAGTTGGTCGACCGGAAGTAGCAATACATTACCATTACTTGTTACGACAAATTGACAAATTCATTTCACTTTTGATTAATTTATTAATACAGGAACATTTGAAGCAGCGTATTCGCCATCTATAGTGGGATATGTTGGTTTATTTTATTCGAAAAAAGAAGTAACCTTAAGATATTCCATCTTTATATCTTCGATCACTATTGGTGGTGCTTTCAGTGGATTAGCCGTGAGTTTTTTAAGTCTTAAAATAATTGACTACAATTGACAATATGTTAAATAAATTCACTAATATATATTAATACATTTTTCCATTAACTTGTTAGTCATATTTCATAGTCCAAATATCAGGGACGTCATTAAGTGGTTTTCAATGGTTATTCATAATTGAAAATATTCCAACTATCCTTTTGGCCTTAATTATTGCCCTATTTTTGACTCGTGATCCCGGGAACGCCCGTTTCCTTACACCTGAGGAACGTGAATTCGCTGTTGAACGATTAAAACCAGAAGGAGGTCCAAATCAAATTGATCGTAGCATTGCCAAAGCTCAAATAAAACTTGTCTTCACTGATTTCCTAACCTACATTCATATATTATTGCTTTTAGTTACTTCAATTCCAGCTAATGCTCTTAATATTTACCTTCCTACTTTAATTTATCAACTTGGTTTTGATAATGTTCAGGCTCAAATAATGGTTATACCACCACTTCTTGCTTCAACTGTATTTATGATAATTAATTCTTGGACATCTGATAAGTACCAGACAAGAACTTGGAATATATTAGTTTGTTATTTTTTATCCATCATTGGATTGACAGGAATGATAGCAACGAAAGCCAATGTTCCTAGTTTATATAACTTGAGATATTTTTTCACAATTCTTCTGGCATGTGGCGCGTACAGTGTGATACCAGTAATTTTCAGTTGGTGTACTTGTAATGTTGGTTAGTAACTTTTTTTTAAAAATATGTAATATATTTGTATATTATTATCTACCAAAATTTGATAACATCATCTAATATTAATAATTAAAATTTTAAAATAGTTGGTCAATACAAGCGAAACACGATGACCGCTGTAATATTACTTTTTCCTAACATTGGAGGAATCATCGGGATTTTAATATTCCCAGTTACTGATGCTCCCTCATTTTTTATGGGAAATACCGTGTGCTTAGTTTCAACTCTCTTTGGAGTTATGATTACTATCGGGCTGAAATTTTACTTTGAATCAATAAATAAGAAACGTGATATGGCTATATTAGCTAATCATAATTATAAGTTAAATGATAGTGATTTGAAGAACAGTAAGAAGATTAGAAATATTGCTATGAAATTAGTAGAAAACGAACCAATTTTTGATGAAGTGTTGTGTGATAGACACCCTAATTGGAGATATATGACCTAAGGACATTCACTTGTTGTAATATATAGATATATACGTATTTATCGCAGTATACTTGAAATTTATATAATTAATCATTAAGCTAGCAGTACTATTATTCTCTTTTTAATATTTTTTTAAATAAATATGAGATAGCACTATCTGTCTTACGATAATGGCAAATGTATTGTTTTAGTGCATGTTAATGCAGAACGGTCCTTGCTTCAAGTGCCAACCGAGGCACCTAAGTAATTATTTCCAAATTTCTTTACATTTAATTAATTGTGTAACACTGCTTCGAAATTGGCATACAGTTGTTTATCTATTTTTTATTTATTTAATCATTATAAATAATTAGCGCTATGTCAAGTACTGTTAGTATTGTTAGCAGAGTTAGCAAGATCATATATATTGGCGTCATATATATAGTTTTAAACATATTCTGAAAAAAGAGCCTGTATATGATACTTATAAACAAATATCTTTTATAATATAATATATTTTAAAGTTAAATAAGGATTCCTTATAATCAACTTTAATATAATTAGTTTTTTAAAATAAAATTAAAGTGATAAGATGACTCAGAAATATAAATTAAATAACACACTTTTTAACCATCAAGTAAAATTATATTTCTGTTCAGATTACATAAAATGATCCATTCTGTAATTATAAAGTGTGTCATATAGAGTTGGGCAATTCGCAGTTTTTCTAAAAATCCTGTGCGTCACACGCGAAATCCACCGCACAAAAAATGCGAGTTGATCTTCAATTTTAATTGGCCAACAGCTGTGATCGACATAATTTTAGGGATGGCACATGATTTAAATCACGATGATTTAAATCACCGATTTTTGATTTAAATCAATTTAAAGCTGATTTA